AAACCAGTCTAGTGCTGTTCCTTTAATTCCAACAAAATATTCAAGTCTTTCTAAAAGAATATTATGGTCAACTGTATCAAATGCAGCACTAAGATCTAACAGGACGAGCACAGATACAAGTCCATTATCTGAGGCCATGAGAATATCATTAGTGACTTTCACCAGAGCTGTTTCAGTGCTATGATGAGCTCTAAAGCCAGACTGAAACTCTTCAAAAAGTTCATTATGGTGGAAGTGATCGCAAACTTGTTTGGCAACTACTTTCTCAAGAATTTTGGATAAGAAAGGAAGATTGGATATAGGTCTATAATTGACCAAGTCATCTGGGTCAAGAGACGGTTTCTTAAGCAGAGGTTTAATTACAGCAACCTTAAAAGCTTTAGGTACATATCCCTGTAACAGAGATAGATTAATCACATCTAAAATGGAGGAGGAGATCAAAGGGAATACCTCCTTAAATAACCTGGTTGGAACTGGATCTAACATACAAGTTGAAGGCTTAGATGAAGACAATAATTTTGCTAATTCAGAGAGTTCAACTGGATCAAAGCAGTCTAAACCCGGTTCAGATTCCATGACTACCTCAGGTACAATCGCGGATAGAGGAGTGCTTATGATCTTATTTTTAATAAGATCAATCTTATTTATAAAGAATCCCATAAAATCATTGCTGCTAAGAGCAGGTGGAATGGACGGTTCAACAGAGCTATGGCTCTGGGTGAGTTTGGCAACTGTATTAAAAAGAAATCTAGGATTATTCTTATTCTCCTCTATTAATGAGGAGAAGTATGCTGCTCTTGCTTTACAAAGGGTCCTCTTATACAGCAGTAAACCATTTTTCCAGACTAGGAAGGACTCTCGCAGGCCTGTGGAGCGATATTTTCTCTCCAGTTTCCTAGCATTTTGCTTCAAAGTACGCAGCTCTGCATTAAACCAAGGAGCAAGCTTTCTATTTTTAACGGTTTTCATTTTCAAAGGAGCTGCGTTGTCTAAGGCAATACGCAGAGAACTAGCAACCCCATCAACAAAATCATCAACCTGTGAAGGGGAATAAGCTAAGCTTTTGCACTCTGCAGCACTGCTCAGTGACACAGAGGAGAGAGAAAGTGAAGCAGATTCTTTAAAATTTATAACTGCACTATCTGATAAAGATCTACTAAAATTGAACCTTCTTTTGGGGGAGGAGAACTCTGTTAAAGTAATCCTGAAGGTTATTAGAAAGTGGTCAGAGAGGACAGGGTTGTGAGGAAATACTGTTATTTCTTCACATTCTATGCCGTATGTCAGCACAAGATCCAAAGTATGAAGATGAGAATGCGTGGGACTATTCACATTTTGAACAAAGCCAATAGTGTCTAAGATAGCATTAAAGGCTGCTCTTAAGCTATCGCCTTCAATGTCAGCATGGATGTTAAAATCTCCCACTATGATGACCCTGTCAGTATTTAATACCAAATCAGAAAGGAACTCTGAAAACTCATCTAAAAATTCAGAGTAAGGACCTGGTGGACGATACAAAGTTACAAAAAGAAGAGGTTTTCTTGCCTTGAAATTTGGATCAGGGAAATTAAGGGTTAAATGTTCAAAAGAGTTGTAGGTATTAATTGTTTTGGGAGTAATCAGTAAGTCAGACTGGAAGATTGTTGCTACTCCTCCTCCTCGCCCAGAACTTCTGGGGATGTGAAAATTTAAATAGCTTGAAGGAGTTGCCTCATTTATGCTCACATAATCCTCTTGCTGCAGCCAGGTTTCTGTAAGGCAAAACAAGTCAATGTGATTATCACAAATCAAGTCATTAACTAGTAGACTTTTAGAGGAAAGCGATCTTATGTTAAACAGACCGCATTTAATTGTTTTAACTTTTTCCCCAATTGGAGTTATTTTGATTTTAATTAGATTATCATGATTTACTCCTTTGGGAATCTTTGCTAATTTATTAGATTTTGGTCGTGGGCAAGACACTGTCTGGATGGAGTAAAGAGTGGGTAACAGTAGAGAAGCTGCAGAGATGTGTGTTAAACTACAACTCTGCTTCCTGGTCTGCACCCTGGGTGGTCAGGGTTTTGGAGGACTAATAAATGTGGCCAGATTCCTAGAAAGAAGAGCTGCACCATCCAAAGTGGGATGGATGCCGTCTCTCCGAATCAGACCAGGCTTTCCCCAAAAGGATTGCCAATTATTAATGTAGCCCACGTTGTTTTCAGGACACCACCTAGACAACCAGCGGTTGAATGACGACATGCGGCTAAACATGTCATCACTGGTCAGATCAGGGAGGGGACCAGAGAAAATTACGGAGTCCGACATTTTTTTGGCAAACTTACACACCGAAGCAACACTAATTTTAGTGACCTCCGATCGGCGTAACCGGGTGTCATTACCACCAGCGTGAATAACAATCTTACTGTATTTAACCTTATCCTTAGCCAGTAGTTTCAGGTAGGATTTGATGTCGCCCGTTCTGGCCCCCGGCAAACATTTGACTATGGTCCCTGGTGTCTCTAATGCCACGTTTCTGACTATGGAGCTGCCAATCACCAGAGTGGGCTTCTCAGTGGGTGTGTCACTGAGTGGGGAAAACCGGTTAGAAACGTGAACGGGTTGGTGGTGACCAGTGGGCAGAGATCCACGACTACGCTTTCTGCGTACAGTTACCCAATCGCCTGGCTGCTCAGGCACTTTTGGAGGACAGCTACGTGGGGGGCCTACTTTAACTCCTGGATGTTCAACAGCCTGAAGCCTGGATTCTAACTCTGACACCCTCGCCTCCAAAGCTACAAAAATACTACACTTATTACACATCCCATTATCACTAAAGGAGGCAGAGGAATAACTGAACATCTGACACAGAGAGCAGGAGAGAGGAGAGGAAGAAGGAAGAGTTGGAAAAGAGTCAAGGGAGGGAGAGAGAGAAGCCATAGCAATGCTAAGCTAGCGCTAGCCTAGGCAAGCTACTCCTTGCTATCAGAAATAAAACCTTGTGAAACTGACAAGTGCTCAGTAGAAAAGTGCAGCAGAAGGTGCTATGTTTTAAAGTAGTCAGTTAGAGTTACTTAGATACAGAGATATCACAGAGAAAATAACTTAACTTCAGATGGAGATCCTCTGAACAGCTGCAACAGCTCCACACTCAGTTAATCCAAACAGGAAGTGAACAGGTCCAAACAGGAATAATAGAAATAAGTTTGTTTATTCATGTGTTTAATGATGTGTATATATACATATAAATCTCTTTCCAGTTCAACTTGATAAGGTTAAAAAAATGCAAGAAAATATGACAATATATAACAAAATTAAAACGACCTTTTATAAAGACACCTATTATGTGTGTTTGTGAGTATTACATTATTTATTCTTTATTATTTTAGTATTGTTTGTGCTATGTCCTTACCTTTTCTGTACCACTTAGATTTCCCAATGGAGGGTGTGTGACTTCAAATTAACAAAGCTTTGTGTTCTCACAGTGAATTACTGAGTACCTACAGTAGTAGGGATTCAAAATTTACCCATTTTCCTCGATGGGTCCTTGGCTGGTCCTTGGCTAGTTCCCTACAGTAACATTTTAAACATTTAAAATATTCTTTCTGTCATGATTTATGGACATTAAGATCTAAAGGGAAGCGTTATCTCCTGGTCAGACAGTGATAGGGTGGGGTCAGAGTAAAGACATATGCAAGAGGGGGTCACTACAGTGGCTGGAAGTTGGGTTTTGACTGGGAATGACCATTTTGAATGGCTGCTACTGTAGATATATGACCAAATAGCCCAAAACTTCTGTGTTTTCCCACAACACTGGAGAGAACAGTAGACCCAAACCTGACAGTGCAGGTCTGCAGCTAGATCCCTCTCAATGATGTTGGGTCAACTTTTTTTCTGATCATTGAATTCAAAAATGTTTTCTGTCTTTAGATGGATTGATTAGTTTTGCTGCCCTCCTTTAGAGTTCATTGAAAATCAGAAAGTTAGAAACGTATAGTTGGAGACATAAACTTGACTCATCATGTTATTCCTTTCTTCTCTTTGAATGTACTATTTGTACATTCACTTCTATTCATGTGGTCCTTAAAATAGAAAATTTAAAATGGGTCAGAAGAGTAACCTAGGGTGATTATGAATCTAGATAAGCCTTGAAAAAGTCTGATTGTTGTATCTCTAAATCTGTATGTATGGAGGCTGCAGCCATGAAAGCTTTTCAAGAACCTCTTTACTGCTGTTAAGGATCTGCCCTCTTGGAAGTAGGTCTGACTCTTAAACAGGCTGTTTAAAAAAGTCACAACACAAGAGGCTTTTCTGTCTCTGCATGCCCAGCCTATTTAACCCGTTTCCCTTCACATGCTCTCGTCTTGTTCACATCAAAATCTCAGACAAAAGAACAACACAGCTAAGCCTGAGATGCCCAGAGGTCTGTGTTGTCTGGATGGAAATGAGTCGTCTGTTGACGAGACGCTGTGTGCAGTTTAAAGTCCTGCCCTGTTTCGTGGCAGTGTCGTCTGTAAGCACACTGTTGCGTTTGGTGCTCTTGCTCACAGAGAGGCGGATCTGTCTGAATCAGCCACCCGTAGAGAGTCACCGGGCTACAGGGAGATATTGTGTGTCCCAACAGTGTTGCCTTGTTACCAGGACACCACAGTGACTGACTTGGGAGGCACCCTGCTAATAACATGCCCAATAAAACGCACTTGTATGTGATCACCTGACTCTTCTTGGCCAATTAAAGCATGTGGCTAACTTTGTATTCATGGCCTGGATACCAAGACACATGCGTTCTGTGTTGCTCAGTGGGTCATTTACACAATGTGACAGTAGAGCCTTTTTCTTCTTCTAATGAACTCCTGGGACAAACGATAATTCTCTAAGTAATGAGACTACCTTAATGCTCAGGGTGTAATTGTATTGTAGGACTAATTAATCAGATAATTGGTTCTAATGGTGTGTTCACTGGAGGGTAACTGGGTTCTAAATGCTGTATTTAATAAGCAACATTTCTCTTTGGTTGACAGGTACATATTTGCACGACGGGACTCATTGTGACCCCACCCCCTAGCAGTCCAGTTACCACAGCAACAGTCTTCACGTTTCCTTCAGAGACGAGCTACACATCCATTGCATTGGTAGGTAGAAACCCGTGCCAGGTCAGCAGGGATAAGCTGTGACAATGAGCTCCTTTTCTTTTCTAGGTTGTTCACTATGCTCTGAAAATCTCTCACATTTTGTCACATTAATAGCTTTAGTTAGTGTCATTGGCATTTAATGTAAAGGACCAGCAGATATGCAAGAATCCAGATGGTTTTTATTATTTTCTAAACAAATAAAGGGTTTTTTGTTAATTCTTTGTAACATTGTTGCACAAATTTAAACCTAGTGCAGCGGATTGCCCTCAGAAATAGGGATGGGAATCGAAAACCGGTTCCTCTTCAGAACCGGTTCTGTGTGTTCCAATTCCATGGCACCGTTTGGCAGCTCGCTTAACGTTTCTTTTAACGGTTCCAGGCAGCACCAGAGCCTAGCGCTGGGCAGCACGACTTGCATCACGGTTTTTTTATGCACGTTACGCACACAGCATTCAGTACGCAAGTACGGCGTGACCAGGCGTAAGTCTAGAAAAGCAAAACATAAAAAATGGCGCCTCATTGGGTAAAGTGATCGAAAGTAAAGTGGCGATTACATCCGCGAGAGGAAATACATCCAACATGCAGAAACACCTGCTCACACAACATGGCATACATTTTAACGAATGCCGTGTTTTTGATGCTTCCTGATAGAAGCTAAAGTTACGACCAGCATGGAAGGAAACTCTGGTGTAAGTAGCTGGTTTTATATCAATGGCTGTGCTTAATGTGGTTCTAGTAAATCATATGCCATTTCTGGAAATAAACCAGTTTCCTACCTCTCTTTGGGGTTATTAAACATGCTACAAAGTTTCAGAGGTAGGTGAGTTTATTTCCCGAAATTCTACAAAAATGCTTTTTCATTAAAAGGATGCCTTCTCCATTAGATTTAGATGACTGTGACAAGACGGGTAGCCTGCCTGGCTCAGAGGCTGGCAGCTCCCGTTCACTGCCTTCTGATTTCGCCGAGGCAGGCAGAAATGGAAAGTCCCAGGTGAAGGTAGACGAATGTCACCGTGCACTTACCAAGTTCAATGTTTCACAGGACAAGAGAATTGATAAGGAATCAAATCGTTTCATAGAATCGATAAGGGAATTGGAATCGTGAAAATTTTATCAATTCCCAAACCTACTGAGAAATTGATAACTGGAGAAAATCTGCTGTAAAGACGCTATATTCTGATTAGAGCATTGTTTTTAAATCTGCTCACACAGTGTTTAGCTGGTCCTCTGCTACAGATTCAGAGTCATCAAATTAAATCAGGTTCAACCTTGGAATCATTTAAAGTATATCTGGTTGAGAAAGGCTGGATTAGAGGCTCAGTGACCTTTTATAGCTTGCAGGTGAATTGTCTTTTTATTTTTAGATCAAAACAGCACAGTCGCACCAAAACAATGAAACACGGATGTCGGCTGCGTGATGCTGTGGGGGTGCTTTTCTTGAGATTTAGATGGATCAAGCTAAATACACTTTGGTCCTGGAAAAAACTAGAGGCTGGTTTGGACGTTCACCTTTGAGCAAAAAAACTGTTAAAATGGCCAAGTCAAAGTCCAAATCCAAGTTAAAGTTATATTCTGTTTACTATGCATCTACTGTAACAAGAAGAATGGACATAAATGTCAGTCTGTAGAAGAGGGGAGCTGTCATAACACCACTAAAGACTTTGCGCTGTAATTGCAGCAAACAGCGGTTCAACAAAGTGTTGTCTCCAGTGGCTGAACATGAACGTACGCCACGCTTCTGAAAGCTTTGGTTAAAGCTACACAAAACCATATATCTTAGTCTTCAAACATCACAATGGTGCAAAGAACATTGAAGTTTGCGTTTGGAATGCAACAGAAGATTAAAAGTTAATTGGTATGAATACTTTACGATGTGCTGTAGATGTTTGTTCATGTAAAAATCATCATAAGCATAATAGTAAAAAAAAAAATTTGCTTTTTTTTCCTGAAGATTTTCTTTTTTATGGACAGTCCATAAAGCCTTAAAAATGCATAAAGATTTCCTGCTGCCCTCTGAAACGTCCCGTCTTTCTGCGCGTACGCTCTGGTATGTAGAGTTATTGAATGAGCAGGAATGTGGACACAAAAGGTTGAGCTCTCCGCTTCACTTGGGAAACCTACATGATGTTTTTCTACACACGATTTCTCTAGCCTGCGGGCAACCTAATTATCTCAGCTCGGGCGTCGGCAGCGAACCGTAGAACACATCGACGCTGGCGTTTACACGTAGGACTGCGCGCATACCGCAGGGCTGCCGCTCTCCTCCCCCAGCATGTCATGGAAGCTATTACTCTGCTGCTCACTGCTGCCAGTGTTCAGTGCAGGCAGCTCCTGAGTAGAAGAACATCATTGTAGCACGCTATGAGCTTTATTTTTTAGGCTTTCAAGGTTTTTAAGCAGATTCTTGGTTTTGTTAATTCAATTTGGGGGGAATTGGTGTTTGTTTGCTGGGAAGAGTCTTTCTGTTATGCTTGCTGCTGGAGTTTTTTTGTCTAATCAAAGATCTTAGAGAAAAAAGTGAGTCAAAATCAATCTGCTTGTGGTTGGTTGCTCACAGACTTGTTTTTATATTTCATATGGTCCCGATTAAACACTGCAGTGGATTGAAGAAGGAGCCATGTGGTCTCCTAGCAGCAAACAAACAAGCAGAACAGAACAGGAGATTCTCCGTTCCAAAGGAAACTCTATGTAAAGACGGTGTCATTGTGGGCAAACCTGAGGGAATATCCCAAATAACAGATTAGCTTTCTTTTTCTCAGCGTTGCCAATAAACAAACTGGTTTCCCTGCTTATGTAACTTTGTTATTGAGGCTCCTCTTACTCCTCGCTTTTGTGATTGTGCGTCATAATGAGGGGCGATAAGTGTCGCATTGTAGTGAGTTTGTAATAGAGCGCTGATCCCGTCTGTGCTTTTTGTCTCAGGATGCTCTGCCGCCACCCCCACCTCCTCCTCCTCAGTCCCCAGCCAGCGGAGCGTCGTATTCCCTCGCTGCCGGACAGAGACCCTCCCCCAATGTAAGCGACCAAAGTGGGAGACAGAGACCTACAGTGTAAGTTTTATAAATTCTCCCACACAGAATTAAAAAGTCTGCATGAAATTGCTGAAGATTTGGTTTGGATTCCTGGTCGGGTGAAGAGGGGAGGGCTTCGCCTGCTCTCAGCTGTCAGTGTGCGGCTGCACTCTGGGATTATATGCGGTGAAAAGGTCAAAACCTGTCGCTGAAGGTTTCCAGGGTCCCTCTGGGAGACCCTTTCACTCACCCCTGACTTTTAACCCCCCCCTCACCTTTACCCTCATTACTCTCTCAAGTTAACCCACCTGATAAGTATTTGCTCTGCTCTCCTGTGGTCATCTGGATCTCCCTCTGCGTGTCAGACGGTGGGCATTAATGTCACCCCTCCACCCTGACTGCAAATATCCCAGTTCAGACCGAAAGCTATTTATATAACTTCAACTTTCTCGTTCTATCACACCACAATTAAAGCTTTTAGTGTATTATATAGAGATCAAACCGAACATTTATTATAAAAATCAACTTTTCTTTCACTGCTCTCCACAGTTATGTGCTGCTTTGTTTTGATCTGTTTGATGTAATAAAGAGAAAAGTCAGGGTTCTGATTTGGCCAAATAGGATCAAAGTGACTGCATGGCTGCTTAGCAAAGCTCTGCCACCGCCCGCCATCACAGCCCCGTTCCTGCGCTGCTGCAAAGAGACGACCTGCAGATTGTTTTTCCTTTTCGTGCTGATTTTCCTCTGGGTCAGAGAGCGCTGTTTGGGGCTGAGCCGAGGTGCAGACAGAAGTCCAGCTGGGCTGTCGGGGGAATCAAACACAGACAGACTTTTTTTTTTTTCCTCAAGGATAGGAGATATAATCTGTGTTGTTTTTAAAGCTGTTATCCACTTGTTCTGTTATCCAGCTATGTGGCCATGTTCCCATATACTCCCCGTAAGGAGGATGAGCTGGAGCTGAGGAAAGGAGAGATGTTTTTGGTGCTGGAACGCTGTCAGGACGGCTGGTTCAAGGGCACCTCGATGCACACTGGAAAGATCGGAGTCTTCCCTGGAAACTACATGAGCCCAGTCAGCAGGTTAGTCATTGCTTCACTGGCAGCCCTTCGTCAGCATGCTGTACACTGGGATATATGAGCTCTGGGTTTTACAGCAGTGCCTCTGCACAGTTAGTCCTCCTATTATTTTTTTTTAAAGATTATATGTTTAAAGTTGTACTTTTTAAGTCTGTCTGTAACCTGGATCTTAGACTAACCCCATAAAAACAAGAGTGGACGTTACTGAACCATAAACGCATCCCATGGTAAAGAATTCCCATAAAAAATGAGCAGCTGAGTGGTTTTCAGATTCCTCTTTAGAAATTTGTAACTAGTTTATAATAACCTGTGATCTGCAGAAAACAGACTCGGTAAGGTTTTATATCCAGTTTGTTTTCAAGATCTGTTTCAGCCTGTTAAAAAGTCCAGGGACTCTTACAAGGTGTGATTTATTCGTTTATGTCTTTTTTTTTTTATTTTACATTTTCCTCCCTCAGAACGGCGTCTGGGAGCAACCAACCCAAAGTACCCATGAGTCTTTGCACTCAGGCTGGCAGAGGAGTCACCATCGTCAGTCCTTCCTCTGCCTCCCTGGGGGCTGTTGTTCCAGGGCCTGATTTCAACAAGCCCCCCCCTGCGTGCTCCACAGCTGCATCAGCCTGCTCCCAACCTGCGGCTGTAACATCGGCTCAGACAGCCACGGGCCAGCAGCCAAAAGTTCCCCTGCATGTCAGCTCCCAGATGACTGTGAATCAGGCGCGCAACGCTGTCAGAACAGGTAAACGGCACAACTGTTGCTCGAAGGCATAGATGGATTTATTTTTTTTTTACGTCTCATACTGTTTATGTGGTCTCTGCAGCTGCCTGTCACAGTCAGGACAGACCCACTGCAGCGGTGACGCCCATCCAGTCTGTCACTTACCTCCCACACGCTGCCATCTGCCCCCAGTCTGCAGCCAACGCTCAGGGCTGCAGCCGGGTAGGAGTCGCAGTGGGCTGCGCGGCCTCTTCTCTGACCCCGCCCAACGTCAGCGCCGCGTCTCTGGACGGCGACGCTTTGAGATCCGTTCCTGTTGGGAGCAACGGCATCCTCAATCCCTCGTCCAACGGCGCTCTCGCCTGCAGGGTGGACAAAGATGTCAAGGTTGGACTTTTCTAACCAGTGAAGATTAACTAGAAAAACAACGTTTAAGAATCCTCTCTGATTGGCCGGTTGGATGTTTTTTGTCTGAATGATTGTGTCTGTGAAGATCAAGCTCATCCACTCCTTCTGTATGAGGAGAAGTGGCGGTTGTGTTTCCTGTGTGCGTACTTCATGTTTCAGCCGATCGTCTTTGTTCATTCTGATCTGAGAAAGGCAAACTGGTTGGATACCAGTAGAGCTAAAAGCCATAGAAGTAGATTTCCCAACTTTCAGAACATTAACGGCTTTTTTCCTCTAAATAGCGGTAGCAGATGATAAAACCAAAAGTCTTCGGCAGCTTTGTTTTCATAGACTAAACAAGCTGCTTGATTAATGTGAAAATGATTTTATTTAGTGCAAACCTCTGTTGTTTTTCTGCTCTTTAACTGATGGACTGTTTTTGCAGAGGGAAAAGAAAAGTCTTCTGAAGCTGTTGTCCTCCAACAAGAAGAAGTCTCGCCCTTCACCACCCTCCTCTCCTACCCTGGAAGCGGAGCAGGCTGCAGCTGGAGAGGTGCTGCACGGTGCTGTGGGTCCCGACACCTCCCCTCCCTCTGGTTCAGTCAGCTGCCTGGAAGCTGAGCCTGCTGGTGTTGCTTCGTCATCCTCAGTCCCAGAGTCCTCTCATCGGAGGACCGCTCCTCTCGACGGATGTGCTCCCATCGCCCCTCCTCCTCGGCAGCCCTGCTCCTCTCTCTTATCACAGCAACATGACGCACGTCCCATCATATGTGAGAGGTACAGATGTCTCTGTTCTCCTTGTCCTCTCTGTCCCCGGAACAGAAAGCGTAACTTTATATCAGGCCAGATCATTTGTCTGTGAAACTGACGGTGCCTCTGGCTGTCCTCCCCAGGTACAGGGTGGTGGTATCGTATCCCCCGCAGAGCGAGGCTGAGCTGGAACTGAAGGAAGGAGACATTGTGTTTGTTCACAGGAAGAGGGAGGACGGCTGGTTCAAAGGCACGCTGCAGAGGAACGGCAGGACCGGCCTGTTCCCCGGCAGCTTTGTAGACAGCATCTAACAGAGACGCAGCGAGCTGAGCTCTGACCCATCGTCCCAACACTTAAAGCTGGAATCAGCCGGAGCTGAGGACAAAAAGAAATGGGCTTCATTTTGTCAGTAAAAGCACAGTGGACAGAGTTGGAAAAGACCACACTACTCATAAACCCTTTGTTTATTTCTTGTTTATTTATATATTTGTAACTACTCAGCTGTTAAATGTGTGCCTTGTACTGTTCCTCACTTTATTGTACAGGAAACAACAACAACTGGTCCTGAAACCACCCTTGTGACCTGTTCTCTGATCCATTCACCTTTTAACTTATTTCATGTTGACTTTCCATAAAGCTACACATGAACAGATGGGATGGTTCGGGATTTTTAAAGTGGAGTTCTGTTAAAAAGTTTTGCGTTGTTACTAACTGTTAGTGTCTTCAGGCAGGATTAATCTAGATTAGTTGAGGGTAGCTGCTGGTCCGTGAGGGTCCAAAAATCAAAGTCGTTTTAAAGAAACTCCAGCAGCTTTAATGAGCCCCTTTTGTCCTCATCGGGGACCTTTTAAGCTGTGGTCCCATTTGAACAGGCTGATTAGCTTCACAAACGCAAAGTGGTGTTCATGTGTGAAACAAACAACAACTGTATGCAAGACTGAAGAAGTGTTTGGATAAACTGCTGTGACCCTTTTTTAAATTGGGTTATTTTGAGACACTAGACGTCCGCTTTGGTGATGGCATCACCTATACGAGTCGTCAGCTTCAGCCTTCAGTTAACATTTCAGTTAATATACGACCATAGTTATGTAACTACCTAAAACCTGCTAATCAGAGTTTCTTATAGTCAATTTGTAAAATTGGTTCTTTTAGGTTCTGAATGAATTAGGGACATTTTTAAAACATTTAGTCTGATAGTTTAAATCGTTTAATATAGATTTGTGGTTCTAAGGCTGAGTCTATCAGAGCTTTTAGTATTTAATTTAAATAAAAAAAATAAAAGCTTTAGCTTTGATCTCAGTTCAGATAAACTATGAAAGGGAAAAAGCCCCTAAACACCATCCTGAATCGGAAGAATCATTTTATTTCATGATTCATACACATATACTAACATATAAGGTTCTGATGTTTTCAGATTAAATGTTTTAACCTCAATATATGTCTGGAAAAGTGCTTTTAAAATGGTAAACATGCTTAAACTCTGTTTTAGCACAACTTCATTGGATGAATCCTGAACTATCCCTTTAAGTAGTGCACATGCCTTCTGTCATGTTTGACCCCATTAGTTGTACTTGCTCTGTTTGAACATTGATAAGGGTTTTTATCGTTGTCTCAAGCAATCAGCAGGGAGGGGAAGGATGAGAGATTGCTGCACGGTAAGGAAAAACAGAAACCTCCCCTGTTCTAAAAGGCATTAAACCAGAGTAGGAAGGAGATCTGCTGTATTGCACATGTGAATCCTCAAAGCTCAAATTTATGAATGCTGCACGTGACTAAATGTTTCTGTGCCATTGGGCAGATTTTTTTTTTCCTGAGGTGTGTTACAGGTGAAATATTTGCATGTTATGAGTAGAGGCCATGATGATAGATGGAAGGTGAGACTGTTTGACTTCCTAATGTCTTAACTTTACACTCCACTTTGGCTTTTTGCATTCAGAAGTTTTTTGTTAATATATTCACTGACCAGAGTAGCTGCTCTCCTGACCCCGACCCCCCCACCCCCTGGCTGTAGCCAAACCCAGACAGAGCTCTGCAGCACTGGAGCCACATTACATTTCAACAATAAAGCAGATTGTGTTTTTGTATATTTATCTCTAGAAGACGTTTCTCAGAGGCTGACGCCTGCTGCTCATAGACTTTATGACTGACTGACAGATACTCTTCCTCTGAGGTCTCTGTTATTATACACTAATAACTCATTCCTAATGCGAGTCGTGGCAATAAAAGCCACTGCTGAGCTGACTGAAGCGCAGACTGTTTGCCTAGAGCGGCATGTCGTATCACTCCACAGGATGAGACGTAGTGTGATTCTGTAGAATCTGATTGTTATGGAAATCAATCACTTTGAGCCCTTTATTTAATTTCATTTCATTGTTTTTTTATGTGT